CGCGTGCTGCCCCAGAGTGGGGAGGCCCGCCCCGCCCCACGTGCTGCCCCAGGGTGGGGAGGCCCGCCCCGCGCCCGCGTGCTCTCTCTTCCCTGGCCACCTCACGGCAGCGGCTGCGGGCGCGAGGGCACCCGCCCTGATGGCGGGGCCAACCTGCAGGTGCCAGATGTGCAAGCGTGTTTCCTCGCCCAGAGGACCTCTCATGCACTTTTGGCCAGGCCCTTGCTGTGAAGCACGCATGCTGGCCATAGACGTTCCTCTGCGGCATTCGTTGAATACGCACGTGCGCAATACACACGTTGTCTGTAATTCGTGGCGTGTAGTGTTGTCGAACCCGCGGGCGTTTTGGCATGGTGAACATGCGCGACTTGAGCAAGACATGTCCGCCCCGTGGACCCACCAAAGCGGGGCCCGAGGTGCTCAGTCGTTTGCCCAGGCAACTTACTCTCAAGTCTGGAGTCCCGTTCCCGTAGAGATGATGTGCTCAGCAGTGCCCTGGCTTGACCAATCCTCCCCTCAGAAACCGTGCCCTCCTCCTCCTCCTCATCCGCCTCCTCCGTAGCCATTTTGGCTCAAACTCGGGGTCGAGGGCCTTGCGCGATTGGTGCGGAGCTCGGCGCTTGGTCCTCGCTGCCGGGCAATGGCAGGCGGCGAACTGCCCTCGGCGCGGAGTGCACGCTGGAGGGCAAGGGTCTGGCACATGGGGATGCTGGAGGGCATTGTTGTGCAGGCTTGGGCTGCTTCAGTCGCAAGGTGGGTTGCAAGGGTCCAGCACAGGGAGGTGCTAGAGGGCACCCCTTGCCTGCACGGCGAGGTGGACCAATCGGCGGAGCAGGTGGGCAGTGTGCATGCTTGGCGGCTTGGAGTGCAGGCTACAGTTCGTGTGGCTCATGGATTGGCGGCCCGTGGCCGCCTTCGTGAGCGGCAGTTCAGCTCGTCGGCGTGTCGGCTTTCGCGCTGGGGCAACCCTGAGTGGGCCGCCCACCTCTGAGCGCCCGCTTGCCAAACTCTGGCCCCACCCGCGCCATACCTTACATTTCCCCCTCCTCCTCCTCCTCCTGCTCCTCCTCCTCCTCCTCCTCCTCCTCCTCCTCCTCCTCCTCCTCCTCCTCCTCCCCCTCCCCCCCCCCTCGACCTCACCTCCTGAGGAACAACAGAAATCATAAACATAAACTTTCGGAGGTCCGCGTGGACTTCTTCGATGTGAACCCCCTCCCATTCGCGCGGAGGAGCGCGCCAGGGGCAGCGCAAGAGAAGCCGCCAGGGCGGCCCAACACTGATCCAGGAAATCCGCGCGGAGCTCCGAGAGCTATGCTTACGTAGTAATTCAGTTTTCTCATGTTCGATCCCGCTCCCCCTCCTCCTCCTCTCCCTCTGGCGACCTACAAGACCTTCCCCCACCCAATCCGAAGTCCCAAAGTTCGGGTTGGGCGTCGTACTGGTGCCACTGTCTGCTCTCAATTTTCTGAGATGTCCCCCCCGCAGGGATTGAGGGCAAAGTGGGGCCTTCGGATCGGGTTGGGTGGGGTTGGTGACTCTCCTCCTCCTCCTCCTCCTCCTCCTCCTCCTCCTCCTCCTCCTCCTCCTCCTCATTCTCCTCCTCTTTTTTTCCGCCTCTTCCCTCCTCCTGCTGATTATAATCCATTCCGATTAAACCACGAGGGCGCGCTGATCAATGACAGGCGCATGCATCACAACAACCCACACAGTGAGCTCAGGATGCACAAAAAGGAAAGAGTCATCGAGCAGTCGGCGGCGAACACACCCCATGCCTAGTCCTCGCAGTACAATCAACCCGTATCATAAGGATGCGCGGTAAGCACGCAAGGGCCTTGTAGGCCCATGTGACAGTTGTTCCAACGAGGCTGGCCAGCGAAAGTCGCTAAGGATGGGCCGAAGGGGCAAGGATGCAATGGTACCTCTGGGAAGGTTACCATCCTTACTGTGCGGGTTGACTGTATGGTTCCTCCTCCTGTTCGAGGCCTGGAAATCGGCACCAACACCAGCACAAGGGGTTGCCTCCACATGGGGAAACTGATCCTGGATTTGGGTGCTGGTGGTAATATTCCGGCCACCTCGGAAGCCAGAATCTTACCACCATCACCGAGATCGGGATCTTCTGCCCTCGGTGGAGGCACACCGCCGATGTTGGTGCTGGTGTCAACCTCCAGGCCTGCGATCCTGCTCCTGCTCCTGCCCACCTCGACCACAGGGGGTGCGCCAGGCCGGCGCCCGGCGCCTCCAGGTCCGTGCAGTGCACCGCGTTGTGCGCCTTGTCCACCCCGAAGCGCGCACGGATCGTGCCCGGCCGCAGGTGCCTCGGCGGGGCGCGGTCCCGCGCGGTCGCGCGCGTCCGGGCGCGTTCGGAGGCCGGCAGCTCGGACTGTCTGCACACTCGCCTCCAACTCGTCCTGCTGCTCCTCCTTCTCCTCCTCCATCCCCCTCCTCCTCCTCCTCCTCCGCCGCCTCCTCCTCCTCCGTCTCCTCCACCAATGTCCCTCTCCTCCTGCTCCTCATCCTCCTGCTCCTGCTGCTCCTGCTGCTCCTGCTGCTCCTGCTGCTGCTGCTGCTCCTCCTCCTCCTCCTCCTCCTCCTCCTCCTCCTCCTCCTCCTCGTCAGAACGTGGACGTCGGAGCACCGCACTCGAGCTCGCACGATTTTCGCGCGTGGCATGTGGAGCCAGCAGCGCCTCCTCGACAAGGGGGCGGCCACCAGCAGCAGGTGCACCGGCTGTGGTGGATCGTCCCAAACGGCCGCCAGATTCTCTGGTCGCGACCGACGAGATCGGTCGCTGCTGGCTTTGCTTCAAGTTCTGGTATCGTTTGCGGCCGATTTGCTTCAAAATTGGTCGCGACCGATTTAGGGTGCCGATCGATCGCTACCGATCGCGACCGAAATAATATGGTATCCAATGATCTGGGCTTCCCCCCTCCTCCGACGCCGCACTCTTTGCGTGGCGCGGGCCGATGGGGATCTGGACCCCTGTTTTTCACTCCAGGGTCGTTCTTCCTTCTGGTCCCAGGCCTGGGAAACGGCCTCCAGAGGCCAATGCAGGTCCCCCAAAAGCCCGCCGTCGCTATGTTAAGTCGGGCGGAGGAACATGCAAAAATAGTCCAACAATAGTCAGGGGACGATGTTTAGACAATTTTCGAATATGTTTGGAATATTTGTCTGGTATTTCTTATTTTTCGTCCAAAACCCCCCTGTAGGAGGACAGGCCCGACGTAACGCTATTATCTTCGTGTCGCCTGGATCTGAAATCGAAGCGGTCCTCGGGCCACATCTCGGGCCTCTGGCAGGGCGAGGCGGGCACGCCCGGAGCGCTCTCTCGGCGAGGGGCGGCTGCTGGAACGTGCCCCTCGAGGCCGGAGAGCCACGAGTAGGGGAACAAAAAGTGGCGCAAACATGAAAACTCAGAGGTCCGCGCGGATTTCTCGGATCGGCGCTGGACCCCCCTCCCTGGCGCGCGCAGCGCGCCAGGGGCGGCGCCGGAGGCGCCGCAGGGGGGGCCCCAGCGCCGATCCGAAGAATCCGCGCGGACCTCCGAATTGTTATGTTTATGTCACTGCTTGTTCCCCTAACCGGGAGGCGACGAAGGCGTGCGCACAGCGACGAGGGCACCCCTCCGAAGCCGGCCGCGGCGACCTCCTGCGGCGCCCGGGCCCGAGGGTCCGCCGAGACTCTGGCCGCGCAGCCTCCCGACAAGGGGCCTGGGCAGATGGGGCCGGAGGATCATCCGCCGCATCGCCGACGCACCGGCGCCGGCTGCGAGGAGAGGATCCAGAGGAAAGAGAACTATGCACATACGCCGACTCTGGCCAGGCCCATCCTGAGCCCAGGATCGGTGCATGCCTCCTACCTGGGCCAGGCAGGCATATGCACCGATCCTGGGTCAAGGATGGGCCTTGCCAGGATCGGCGCATGTGCCTAGACCTCTTCGCCCGTCGGGCTCCACATCGAGCCACATCGTTGATGCGTTGGCGATGCGGCGTGATCGTCCGACTCCATCTGCTCGAAGACTCGGACCCCTGGGAGGAGGCCTACGTAGAGTGGTGAGGATCGCACCAGCGCCAGTCGGGGCTTGGCAGAACTGGGTTTAGTGGGACCTGGTTTAGTGATGTGTACCCGGGGACGCCCCCCCCGCCCCGTTGCCCCGTTCCACTAACCAGACCTGCCATCACCCGAAACAAAAACCAGCTACGGCAGACCTGGTTTAGTGATTCTGGCCAATTCAGGGGCTCCTCCTCCTCCTCCTGCTCCTCCTCCTCCTCATCCTCCTCCCCTCCCACCCCCTCCCCCTCCTCCTCCTCCTCCCCCTCCTCCTCCCCCTCCTCCTCCTCCTCCTCCTCCTCCTCCTCCTCCTCCTCCTCCTCCTCCCCCTCCTCCTCCGGCCACCTCCTCCTCCCTATCGTGCCAGAGGCCGGCGGGAGGTCGCTGCGGCGGGGCTCCCGAGGCAGCCGGCGGCGCCGGGAGCACCCGCAGGCCAGAGCTGTGTGCAGCACGCCCTGAGATCCTGGCATCGCAGTCTTGGCTCCCAGACCCCCGACGTCATGATTTTTTCATGACGTCGACCCCCAGAGGTTTGGACCCATTCCCCAGGACCAGTGTTTCCTCCTGAGTCGTTTTTTGACGGTCCCGAGGCCCGGTAGGGGCCCCCAGAGGCCGAAAATAGCGAAAAACCTCCCGTCGTGATTTTTTCATGACTCGAGGGGGTCTGGGCTCGAGGCTCGAGAGTTCGGGGTTCGAGAATCCTAGGTTGTCTCTTGCGTGTTCGTTGGTTCTCGGCGGCTTTCCGGCCTCGGGGTGCCTTCGAGCAGCTGCGCCTCGCCGAGGGCGTTCCATGGGCTGCCTGGATCGTCCCGAACGGCTGCTGAAGGCCCGACCTGTGACCCAGAAACAGCCAAAACTTTGAGATCCGGACGTCGCAAGTGTTCCATAGCGGGCGAGTTTGCAATGCTTCCAACCCGAAAACCCTCACGGATCGATCCGGCTCGAAACATGCAGCGGAAAAATTTGGTCCAGGGCTCGGGTCCCAAATTTTCATGTGATGCTGCAGCTCTTGAGCCACGTCGGACCCCCGGGCGGCGCCTGCGCAGGCGAGGCCGGGCCTGGTGGCCGACGGAGCTGAGGAGGCGCCGGTGCTGGGGGGCCCCCCGCGTGCCCGCACCAAGGGCTTCGAGGGGTCACCCTGGCGACAGTCCACCCTCACGCGCGGCCGAGTCCTCGGCGCCGCCTCCCAGAGGCAGGGAGCAGGCCGGGGTCTGGAGCCTGCAGCGTACGCGCTGTACAAAGGACACCCTCGCCGCGCCAGGAAGGACACGAGAAGCCCCACTCATGATATCGTCAGTCCCGCTTCCGGGAGACCTGGCAGCTCTTGTCAACGACCTGACACGACATAGATGACCGCAAGAAGACGGGCAGGGCCGCAACAGTCAAATGAGATCCGACACCACCTCGGGGCCGAGAGCCTTCACTCGGCGCTCCAGATCGGCATTGAGCTCCCCCATCTCGAACAACTTCGCGTTGGCAGACTCGGCCACCCTTCGGGCAGCCTGCTCCTCCTCGAGGCTCCGGCCTAGCCTGTCTCTGACAACCTCCAGTTCAGCCGAGGCCGCTGCGGCTTTGGCCTCGGCCGCACACCTCCCCAGGGCCTCATGTTCCGCCCTCGCCGCCGCCTCCTCTGCGCGCGACCGGTGCTCCCTGGCTGCACGCTCCGCCTCGGCGGCCCTCTCCTCAGCCTGCTGCTTTCCTGCCCGCTCCTCCTCCAACACCTTTTCCACGCGCAACCTGGCCGCCTCGGCGTGCTCAATGCGCTCTGCGGCAGCGCCGGAGGCGCGCTCCGCCTCGGTGGCCCTCTCCTCGGCCTGCCGCTGGGCCGCCTCGGCGTGCTCCGCGCGGTCCGCCGCAGCGGCGGAGGCGCGCTCCGCCTCGGCGGCGCTCTCTTCGGCCTGCCGCTTGGCCGCCCGCTCCTCCTCCAACGTCTCTTCCGCCCGCCGACGGGCCGCCTCGGCGTGCTCCGTGCGCTCCGCGGCAGCGGCGGAGGCGCGCTCCGCCTCGGCGGCCCTCTCCTCGGCCTGCCGCTTGGCCGCCCACTCCTCCTCTAACGTCTCTTCCGCCCGCCGACGGGCCGCCTCGGCGTGCTCCGTGCGCTCCGCGGCAGCGGCGGAGGCGCGCTCCGCCTCGGAGGCGCCCTCCTCAGCCTGCCGCCTGGCCGCGCGCTCCTCCTCGGCGGCCAGGCCGCTGGCGGCGCTGGCCTCCTCCAAGGCAGCCCGCGCAGCGACCGCCCTCTCCTCGGCATGGGGAAGACAAGGGACACTTGACTCTGCGCCTGCTCGTCCCGCGGGGCGACGCTACGAGGGGCTAGGCGGTGGCGCCGCGGCGCCGACAAACACGCAGCACCCCGGAATTGCGGATGACAGTGAAGGGGCGGGCGCAAGATGGGTCGCGGGTGGGTCGTGGGTGGGTCGCGTGGCGGATCGCATGGTGGGTCGCAAGGTGGGTCGCGGGTGGCTCGCAGCGGGGTGGGACGACGGCAACAACAAACGAGCAACCACAAACATCCAGACCGCGGACCCTCACTCCAGCCACGCATCCAGAGACAACGTAAGGCCCTTCGGCCCCCTCACTCTGACATGCCGGGGGGCCGAAGAGACGGAGGAGCTGGCCAGCCCCAGACCCCCGATGGCTTCCCCGCAGGGCCAGCTCTCCATCACGGGCCGGTTTCTGCCTCGGCCCCTCAGGGCCCGTGGAGGACCCGTAGAGGCCAAGCACGACGAACAAACTCGTGACCTCTTTAGTCTTTCCCTCGGGCCCCCTTTTTTTGTTCATGGCAAGAGGTGGACGGGGATGTGGACGGAGAGGAATGAGGAGGAGGAGGAGGAGGAGGAGGAGGAGGAGGAGGAGGAGGAGGAGGAGGAGGATGCACGGCGCTGACGGATGATCAATCAGAGATTGCAAACCCCAGGATCAGATTGATGACAGACGTAGCCGACCGATCGATGGCTCGGATGGTCTCTGGGGTAAGTACTGCGAGGATGACGAGGAGGAGGAGGAGGAAGAGGAGGAGGAGGACGTTCGAAAGCAGCTCACGGAAGCTTTGGGTCGTTCCCATGGCACCCATTAGCGCGCCCAATCGCGCTCAAAGCGGACATAACGCATTTCCGTCACATGGCGCTATTGGGCGCTTTTGGTTGCTATTGGGCGTCACTGGGCGCAGTGCGCTATTGGGGGCTTCTGGACGCAATTCGCGGATATACATCCACTGCAAGACGAGCGGGAACCTCCGTGGCTGCCTATGTAGAGGACGGTGCCGAGGCCCGAGGAGGGCCCCCAGGGAGCCCGCGGAACCTACGAGAATCCTCGGGGGGGCCACCTCCGAGGAACAACGCGCGGCATCCACTTGATTCTCAGAGGTCCGCGCGGATTTCTTGGGGTCGACGCCCCTCCTTGGCGCGCAGAGCGCGCCAGGGGCGGCGCCAGGGGGCTCCAGCGCCGATCCGAGAAGCCCGCGCGGACTTCAAAGAAATGATGCATGTTCATGCCGTTTCTCGTCTGGCCAGTGGAAGTCCCCCAGGAGCCCGCAGAACTCGTGAGAAATCTCAGAGTGCCAACCTATCCCTCAAAATCCTGCGGCAACTCATGGAGCCTCCGCTAACCGACGCTAAATCTGCGCTTTCTCATCGACTGCCAGGCGCGAGCTAATGCACTCTATATAAACACTGCGTTCCGAGGACGTGCGACGCTCCCGTGAGTTGCTACCGGATCCGAGGGCCCGGTTTTACTTCCGCAGGCGGTCTCTCCAGTGTGCCCCGCTGCGCATCAATCCTCCTCCTCCTCCTGCTCCTCCTCCTCCTCCTCCTCCTCCTCCTCCTCCGCACTCCTCCTCCCTCCTCCTCCTCCTCTTCCTCCTCCTCTTCCTCCTCCTCTTCCTCCTCCTCCTCCTCCTCCGCCTCCTCCTCCCCCTCCCCGCGCCAGTGCTGCTCGATACTCATCTGGGGGAGTCGGCGGGGGACGCACGGGTGCCACCCGACGAGCACCCTAGCCGAGACCCCAGTGGAGTGAGCAGCGGGACGACACCTGCAAGGGGCCAGCAAGTGTGCTGGCCTCCAGGACACTGCCCGGCTGCAATGCCCGCGGCCCTGCTTCATTCCGCACCTGCACGCCTGAATTACCGACCTCCAGGACACAGCCTGGCGGCAACGCTGGCGGTCCTGTTTGCCTTCCGCACGGGCGCGCAAGAGTCGTGCAGGCATGCACATTCAAGTCATTACCTGAAAGTTCGGTTGGCGGGCCTGTCCACATACGCCATTATCTAGGAATCGACCTCCAAGACACAGACCTGTGGCAATGCTGGCGGCCCGATGCACTCCTTCCACACTCGCACACCTGAGGCAATACCAGCGGTCCTACTTCCATTCCACGCCTGCGCACCAGAGGACCTCCAGGACACAGCCTGGCGGCAACGCTGGCGGTCCTGTCTACCTTCCACACGCGAACTCACATTCAGGTCAAAATCTGGCGACTAGGCTGGCGGGCCTGAACATATACCCCATTCACGAGGCATCGACCTCCAGGCCCGACGGTCCTGTGCACTCTCACCACACTCGCACACCTGAACCACGGACCTCCAAGACACAGCCCAGCGGGAATGCCGGCGGTCCTGCCTTCACTTGCCCAGAAGAGGTACGGCCCCACTGCAAGCCACTGCGCCTCCACGAGAGTCGTTGGTGAGGCGGGAGCTGGGATGCCCACCCCTGTCGATGAACAGTCGCTGGCGCCCTTATACTTCGCAATTTCTTGTTGAATTCCTTGCCAAAAAAAGTTGATCGAATGCCATCATCTCAACTCCCCCGTCCTTCTCCACAGCCCACTCCTACCGGAATGCACTGGCATGCGAGGACATGCGATGGCATGACTGCGCAGGCAATGGCATGCTTTGTGAAGCGTTGGGTGCAGTGGCATGCGTTGGCATGCGTTAGCATGAATTGGTATGCTTTGGCATGCATTGGCATGCAGTGGCACGCATTGGCATGCATTGGCATTGGCTGGCATGCTTGGGCATGCTTTGGCATGCACAGGCTTGCATTGGCATTCGTTGGCATGCATTGATATACATTGGCATGCCATGGCATGCACTAGCATGCATTGGCACGCTATGGCGTGCTTTGGCATGCAATTGCACGAATTGACATGCGTTGGTTGGTATGCTTTGGCACGGATTGGCATGCGATGGCATGCCTTGGCATGATTGCGCATGCTTTGGCATGTTTTGGCATGGTGTGGCATGCATTGACATGCATCGGCATGCACTGGCATGCGTTGGCATATGCGTTGGCATGATTGGGCTGGAGTTGGCTGGAGTTGGCATGCGTTTGCATGCATTGGCATGCATCGGAACGAATTGGAATGCATTGGCATGAGTTGGCATGCGTTGGTTTGCATTGTCATGCGTTGGCATACTTCAGCATGCTTGCGCATGCGTTGGCATGTCTTGGCATGTCTTGGCATGCAGTGGCCATGCAATGGCATGCATTGGGATGCATTGTCACGCTATGGCATGCTCGAGCTTGCTACGGCATGCGTGCGCTTGTTACGGCATGTTTTAGTATGCTTTGGCATGCATTGGCATGCGCTGGCATGCGTTGGCACACGTGTGCATGCATTGGTATGTGTTGGCATTCATTGGAACGCAGTTGCATGCACAGGCGTGCATTGGCATGGCGTGCATTGGAATGCTTTGGCATGCAGTGGCATGCTTTGGCATGCATTGAGATGCGTTGGCATGCACTGGCATGCCTTGGCATGCATCGGCATGCGTTGGCACACGTTGGCATGTAGTGGTATCCACTGGCATGCACTGACATGCATGTTCATGGGTTAGCATGCCTGCGCATGCGTTTGCATGATTTGGCATGGTCTGGCATGTGAAGGCCTGCAATGGCATGCGTTGCCATTACTCGCATGCGTTGGCATAGGTTGGCTTGAACTTGCCTGCATTGGCATGCATCAGCATGGTTGCGCATGCTGTGGCATACATTGGCATGCATTGACATGCGTTGGCATGCTTTGGCATGCTGTGGCGTGCTTTGGCATGCAGTGGCATGCACTGGCATTCGGTGGGGAACAGTGGTACGCTATGACATGCGTACGCTTGCTACGGCATGATTGCGCATGCTTTGGCATGCTTTGGTGTGCTTTGGCATGCTTTGGCGTGCTGTGGCATGCCATGGCATGCAGTGGCATGCAGTCGTATGCATTGGCGTGCGGTGGCATTATGTGGCATAATTGAGCATGCACTGGCACGCCTTGGCATGCTTCGGCATGTTTTGGCATGCAGTAGCATGTCTTGGCATGCAGTGGCATGCATTGCCATGACTGTACATGGTTTGGCATGGCTTGGCGTGCATCGGCATTCATTGGCATGCGCTGAGACGCATTTGCATGTTTTGACATGCGTTGGCATGCACTCGCATGCGTTGGCATGTTTTGGCATGCTTGCGCATGCGTTGGCAGCTTTGGCACGCATTGGCATGCGTTGCCATGCATTGGCACGAATCCTTGGGCAGTTGCATGCAGTGGCAAGCACTTGCATGCATTGGCATAGGTTGGCGTGCTTGCGCATGCTTTGACATGCTTAGGGGCGCTTCAGCATGTAATGGCATGCATTTGCATGCTATGGCATTACCATGCATTGGGGCCACCGTGCCCTCCAGGGTGGTGACACCAGGACACTGGACCCACTAACAGTGTTCAGGCGCCCCAGTATCATATTACCTCAAGTCATCCTCCTCTTCCCCCTCTTCCTTCCCCTCCTCCTCCATCTCCGCCTCCTCATCCTCATCCTCCTGCCTGGAGGTAGTAATTACTTAGACCTGCTGGAAGCGGGCATCTCTGCTCGATAGCGCTGGCTGCGCACGGGCAACGACGAGGCCGACAAGGCCGCGAATCTCGGTACTGCTGCTCACTCCCGTGCTTCTGCAGACGAGTTGCAGCAACTTGGTCTTCAAGATGAGAGTGTCCAAGTCGGTATGCAATTTGGCCGCCACTGTGCTTCCTGTGGCGCAGTCTGGACTTGTCCGATCGTCCCTGGATTGCTCCCCCCGCGGTCCCAAAAGAATCCCAGGGCCCCCCGAGGCAGCTTTTCAGCGCGCCCGCCTGCATACCACTAGCACGGACGGCTGGCTCAGGCAAGGAGTGCCAGGTTGGTGCCTCCTCCTCCTTCTCCTCCTCCTCCTCCCTCGCCTCCTCCCTCTCTCACTCCCTTCCCCCCTCCCTCTCTCACTCCCTCCTCCTCCTCCTCCCTCCCTCCCTCCTTCCTCCCTCCTTCCTCCCTCTCTCCTCGCTCCTTCCCTCTCTCCCTCCCAGCGCCCGCCCCGGGCCCCCGCGGGCGGGCTCTCCAGCGCGCCCCGCTGCGCCGCGACCTCGCCCGCGGCCTCCGCCGCCGCGGCCTCCGCCGCCTCCAGGGCGGCGCTCAGCCCCGCCCTCTCGCGGGCGTGCCGCTCCCCGAGGGCCTCTCCGGGCGGCGCGGGCGCGCGGGCGGTGCCTCGGCGACGCGGCGCGATCCTCCGAGGCCCCCTCCGCCCGAACTCCTCGGGCAGCGAAGCCGTCACGACGGGGGGGGGGAGGGTCCACTGTGTTCGGCCTCCGGAGGCCCCCGGCGGGCCTCGGGGCGGTCAAGAGTCAGGAGGGAAAAAAACACACAGACACAATTAATCGTTGATTTCCAGAAGATACGGGAACATATGGGAAGTGGTGGGGAAGACGAAAACCTCAAAAATATGGGAAAATATTGGGAATCCTTTTAGTTGTGTGTATTTATTTGTGTGTCCCAGGGCCCCTTCAAAGAGACGGCTCGGGATGAGAAGCTGGTCCCGGGGGAGTGGGTTCGGACCTTTCGGGGTCGACGTCGTCGACAAATCTCATGACGTCGGAGGTCTGGCCCACTCGGACCTCATCTGGGCGGCGAAGACAAAGGGCTCCTACGCAGGACGACGCAGCGACCTCACGCGGCGGCTTGCTCGGGCCGCCAGCGCGGCGCGCTGCTCTGGAAGCGAGGGCGCTCTGAGCCCTCTCGCGGCCTGACGTGTGTGAAGGGGCCCTGGGACACACAAATAAATGCACACAAATAACAGGATCCCCCTATTTTCCTATATTTTCTGGGTTCTTGTCTTCCCCCCCACTTCCCATATTTTCCCATATTTTCTGGGGAATCGACGATTAATTGTGTCTCTGTGTTTTTCCCCTCCTGAGTGTGGGCAGCTTACGCGCCAAGGTCCGTGCGGGCGACTCCGTCTTGCGGCGCCGCTCCTGTGGGAGGCCTCCGTGCCCTCCCAGACCTCGGGCGGGCGGATGAAGCGCTTTCGCCCTGGCGGCTCTTACCCGATCTTGCTGGCATCGGGGGGCCGTTGCCGGGCTCCTGGGGCCATCGGCCATCTGGCCCGCGGAGAGAAGATGACTGCCACGGTGGACAAGGCCGAGCCGAGGCGAGAGGGGCTTCCTCCCCGATCACTGGGCACCGGGTATCGTTGGTCGCGATCGGTAGCGACCGATCCGCACTCCAAATCGGTCGCGACCGATCGCGACCGATTCCAAAATCGGTCGCGACACCGGCCCATCGCGACCGATTAGTCGCGACCCGTTCACAACCGACTTTGAAGCAAATCGGCCGCGACCGATACTGGAATTTTAAGCACAATCGGTAGCGACCGATCTCGTCAATCGCGACGGGAAAATGCTGGCGTCCATTGATCAGGGGAGGGGAGGGAACTCTCTCTGGAGGAGCTCTGACATCCTCTCGTTGCAAAGGGGTCGCGACGGAAAACTCTTGCCCTCTTTGGGCTTCCCGGGGCCTCATCACCGGGCCCCGACTCAGGACTCAGGACGCAACGAGCCACGCTGAGATAAAAATCGCGATGGAGGATGCCCGGGAAGGCCTGGGGGGGGGTCTGGGGTCGGAGGATCGCGCCGCATCGCGGATGCATCGGCGACAGCTCCGAATCGAGCCGCATCGCCGGGGCAGAGGTGGGGTCGGATGAAACATCGTT